ATTGTTTGTTTATGCCAGCTCTTCTTCAGATGCAGTCTGGGATCCTCTACGAACTTTTTTTTTTGGTGGTATTGGAGTTCGAACTCAGGACTTTGCACTTATGATGCAAGCCCTGTACCTCTGGAGCCACACCTTCAGCCCTCCCCTAAGATATTTTGAAGGCTCTCAGAAGTTTGGGTTTTTCTACTATAATACCTGAAAACATCTCATGATTTACAAAAGTCAGGGTTAGGTTTACTACTCAAAACCTATAACCAGTGTGGCACAAAACCAGTAGCAATTCTCATAAAATCTCTAGGACAGCTAAATTTCTACTGGGTTTGCACGTAGCATCACACTTAGGTCTTCTCAGCCTTAAATCCTAGCATTCATCTTAGAACATCAAGGTTTAGGCTCTGGAGGACAATTCATTCCATGTGGCTCTACTTTTTTTTAATCAAAAATTAAAAAAATCTGAATCTTGATATAGACTTCATTATTAATTTGCATTCACAGCTTGTCCCCAAATCTTGTGAAGCCACTGTACCAGTACTGATTGCTTTCTAGGAAAGCACTCTGTATAGTTTTAGCTGTTGCTTAAAGTCTGTGTAAATTGCTGAGGATATTTCTTTAATATGAAGCTTGCTCCTTCCTGATCACTTCAAAATATGAATGTGTAATGTGAACCACATTTCATTATTTTCCTATCATTTCCCTGTATACCAAGTGTAAGAGCTAATTTGTATCATATAAGCACTCATTTTAGTAGATTGTTTAATAGTCCTTCCTTATCCAAGACTGAGGATACCTGGAACTTTGGATAGTACTGAACCCTATACACTGAGTGTCTTTAAACAAAAAAATCTGAAATTCAAAATGTTCCAAAATCTGAAGTGCTTTGATTATCAGTATAGTACTACAAGTGAAAAATTCCAAACATGACCTCATGTGATGGGTCACAGTCAAAAAGCAGGCACACATATGCTAGATATAGTGGAATATGACTATAATCCCAGCACTCAGGAGGTTGAGACAGAAGGATCAAGAGTTTGAGGACAGCCTGGGTTATATAACAAGACTCTATCTTAAAAAAGTCGGCACACTAAAAATATTGTATAAAATTACCTTCAGGTTAAATGTACTAGGTGCATATAAACAAAATGAATTTCATGTTTAGACTTGGAACCCATCCCCAGTATCTCTGTGTATATGCAAATATTCCAAAATATGAAAAAATCTGCAATGTGAAACACTTCCTGGCTCTTAAGGATTTTGAATAAGAATGTTCACCCTATTTATATACTATATTTTTGTTGCACATACATACTTAGGATAAATTTCAACTTAATAAATTAGGTATAGCAAGATATTAACAACAATAATAATTTAGACCAGTTATAATGATGTTCTGGCATTGTTTTCTTAAATTATCTTTTTATACTGTATGTAGCCTTATGTGAGATGATACAGTATCTATGATGAAGGAGGTGAATGATGTGGGCATTGTGACATAGTCTTAGGCTAATATATTAGGGTTCCTACAACACAAGTACTGCCCATGGGGCAACAGTTGACCTGATAACTAGCATGGTTACTAAGAGATTGATGAGCAGGTTGCATATGCAGTGTGGAATATGCTGGACAGAGGGATGATTCACATCCCAGGTGGGATGGGCCGTGATGGTGTGAGATTTCATTGTGCTATTTGGAAAGGCATGCAATTTCAAACTTACGAATTATTTATTTTCGGAATTCTCAATTTAATATTTTCAGACCATGGTTGACTGTGAAATTGTGACCACATATGTGGACTTCTGTGCTCCAGTTCCAGGAAACTGTTCCTCAACTGCTTCTCTCCTGGGTATCTTTGTAGCTTTCTTTTCTATTCAGATGGCATTAGCGGTCTATCTTCTAGTTCATAGAAAAAGAAATCTGGCATGTCAGGTTTCACCTTCTTGCACTGCTTCTTGTATAATGCCTTTTCCAGCCTTCTAAGTACTTGGACTCAGGCCTGTTGCTCTAAGTCTAAAGCAGGTCTTCCGTTTACAGATTACAGAAGCCGTCCTTTTGTTGTTCTTTCCAATGAACTATTGCTTATAGTAGATGTTCTTTTTTAAAAAAAATAATTTTTATTAGCATTTAAAAGTTGTACAGGGGATTTCATCTTGATATCTACATTTGTGCTTACACTGTATCTTAATTAGATTCACCCCCTCCATAATCCCCCCTCAATAGTTCTTACATTAGAGTGGACTCCTGGGATCTCTAGGAACTCAGAAGGCTTCTGAAGTTGCATGCAAACTTTCTGATTTTTTCAGGGTTTTTTTTTTTCTGATACTAGGGTTTGAACTCAGGGCCTACACCTTGAGCCACTCCACCAGCCCTTTTGTGTTAGGTATTTTTGAGATAGGGCCTCACAAACTATTTGCCTGGGCTGCTTCAAACCATGATCCTCCTGATCTCTGTCTCTTTGAATAACTAAGATTACAGGTGCGAGCCACCAGCACCAGGCTTCAGTTTTTTATTAGTAGGGTCTATAAGTTTGGTGAAACTCTCAAAGGGTGTAGCGGGGAGGGGGAATGAGAGATAAAAAATACTGAAAATTTCTGTCCTACAGTGTAAAAGTTATTATGTTCTGGCAAATACCCAACTACAGGTAATTTCTCAAGAGTATCATTTGCTTTTGTGCTTCAGTGCCAACTGTATCCTCAGGCTACAATTCCTTCCCTCACTCCTTAGCTAACTCATACGATGTATGTCTTCAAGGAAGCTGTCTTCTATCCCTCAATCCACATCTCACTCTGGGCTCCTCAGGTATTCTGTGCAGTATAGTGGCCCACCCTTTCACACAGTTAGAAGTGGGCATGCTGGTACCTTCCTTCCTCACAGGCTTACTGTGATTATTTCAGTGATATTACGTATAGCCAGCATATTTTGTAAATTGGTAGTTCTTATGTATTTGATTGTTCCTGTTGCCTCTTTCTCACCAAGAATGTCAGCTGTGTAGTAAGAACACTGTTAGTTTTGTTATAATTTTGAACAGGACATATTTCAAGAGGAACTAAGAAGGGTCAGGTTCTTTTTATGCCTTAGAACCAACACAGGGGAAATAACTTTTCAAACTCATAAATTGTGACATTTACAGTAAAGCCATTTATGTGTAATCAGAATTATTCATTTAAAAAATCATTTGACAAGTCCCACACTGGATACTGAGAGACTGTTCCCAGACTAATATAGCCATATTTATTTCCATTTTGGGAAGAGATTCATTCTTTGAAGACCAGATGAGAAATTGACTTATGCTTAGAAGGCTTATCATTAAAAAATCTCACAATGAGATCATGTCATTTAAAAATGTTGCAGTGCCAGAATTACACTCAGCAAGTCAAAAAGGTTACCAAAGCTAAGATATGTTGAAGGAATAGTGGATTAAACATCTCTTCATTGGACAAAATACACTGGTTTCAGAGAAGGCTCCTGTAAGCCCTTATATTTTTTATTTCTTTTTGTGTTGGAGGTGGGGAGTAGAGCAAAGCCATCCAATCTTGTAAGTAAACTTCAATAAATTACGTATGAATGAAATGTGAGTTCACAGTATTTCCTCTACTCCATTAAAATTCCCCTAGGAGATCATAGTATAAAACTAAGGCCACACATGATAATGCCACAGGCTTTGGTGAGGAGCTGCCTCAGCTACACTGGAGCAGCGTGGTGCCTGGGGTCTGAGGACACTACAGGCCCTGATTGCTTTTCTTCTTTAAAACTAAGAATGGGGTGTATCCTTGCCCACAGTTGGCTGTCATAACTCTTGTATTGGCCATGAGTATTTCATTACTGAATTCCTTCCTCTCCTGATTATTAATTCAGAAATTGATATGTGAACTTACATATTGGCTGTTTAAGGCTTAAATTGTATAGTGAGTGTTTTGAAATTTGTTAGTTTATCAAGACCTACTTAGGTTTCCATTCAAAGATGCTGAATTTTATCTGTTAAAGAAGTATATTGTTTGTGTCTATATGTATATAATATTTGTTTTAGGCTTACACTGTCAAAGTTCTTAATAAAGCTTGTGGCCTCATTATTAAGACAGAGTTTACCAAATAAAGTAGTGTGTGTGTGTGTATGTATTAAATTCTGAGTTTATTTACTATTTTTATTTATTGGGTTTTTATTTGTTTTTCTTTGCTTTACTTTGTTTTAAAACAGGGATCTTGCTATGAAGCCTTGATTGGCTTCAAACTCCCCATCTTCCTGCTTCATCCTCCCAAGTGCTGGGATTACAGGCTTGTACCACTACCCCTGGCTGGTTTTTTTTTTTTTTTTTTGCATTTTGTAATTAGTGTTTAGGCAGTATATTATTCTGTATTAACTTTTTTTGTTGTTGTTGGTACTAGGGTTTGAACTTAGCTTTGTACTTGTGAGGCAGGAGTGCTACCACTTGAACTACACCTCAAGCCCTCTATGTTAACATTTTAAATTTATATAGTACATTTTAGAATTGTTAACGTTAAAAAGTTAAGCTCAGGAATTTTACATCAGTAAGGTACTGTACTGTACAGAAGTCATGGGGGTTAGTGATTAAGAGTATGGTTTCTGAATCTGAAGGACCTGGGACTAAGAACTGGCACTTTTGAGACCAGCATTGTCCAACATGGCAGCCATGTTACGCACTTGAAATGTGGCTAAGTTGAATGATTGGATTTTAAATTGCATTTAATTGCAATTAATGGAGATGTAGGTCACTAATAGGCCTATAATACTAGGCAACTGAACTTCTTCCAGTTTCCAGTGAGAGAACTTAACATCTCCTAGTTTTCTCATTGTGTAGATGAGATCATATGTAAGCTACTTTTTGTGGTTATTGTAAGAATTATACTATGCTAAGTCATTTAATATTATGCTTGGATTGGAATGCATTCTTGAAATGAATGGTAGTTAATTATAATGACATATTTGATAAGCTGGAATTACTTCCTCTTGAGCGTTAAACTTATTTATTTTTATTCTTTCCTTCCAGGTTTAATTTATTTTTGGAAATCAAGTGCAATATTAAAAAGAAAGTTAACCACACTACATTATTGGATGCCATTTCTGCTAATTTTATTACATTTAAAAATTGATGATTTGATTTGAATACTATCATGGGAGGAGCTGTGAGTGCTGGGGAAGATAATGATGACTTAATTGATAACCTTAAAGAAGCTCAGTATATCCGCACTGAAAGAGTAGAGCAAGCCTTCAGAGCGATTGATCGTGGAGATTACTATTTGGAAGGCTACAGAGACAATGCTTACAAAGACTTAGCCTGGAAGCATGGAAACATACACTTGTCAGCACCGTGCATTTATTCAGAAGTTATGGAAGCATTGAAACTTCAACCAGGATTATCTTTTCTTAACCTGGGAAGTGGAACCGGATATTTAAGTACAATGGTGGGCTTAATTTTAGGTAATTTTATTTTTGTAAAATTCTATTTTGAAAAGTAAGCTGAGTTTGTATTGCTGTTCATGATTTACAAGGTTTGAAATTCTGTGCATAGTATATTTGGATGTAGTTATCTTTCTTTCTTAAATTTGAAAGTACAAAGTGGTAGTAATCTTCATATTCCTGGCTGTGATGCTGACAGTTAGCTCCAGCACAATTCTCAACTTATAATAGTTCTAGTCCTCCAACTCTTGGTCATTGTCTGTACTTAAAATTGAGCAACTGGTAGGCAAGAAACCTAGGATTGTTATTTAATTATTATTTAATCAATTTCAGGGAAAGTGTTTTGTCTGCTGGCGTATAATGTTTGATAGTTATGTCAGTGTCCCATCTATTTATTTATTTATTTATTTACCTACTTTATTATTTTTGCACTATGGGGGATTGAATGTAGGGCCTTGGGTGTGCTAGGCACGCTCTTTACCATTTGAGCCACATCTCCAGTTCTCAGTGTCCCATTTTAAGTGGGAAGAAAATTGTGCCAGTTTTTGTTAGAGGCACAGGAATGTGGGATTGAGAGGGTGAGGCATAGGAAGAGATGGAGAAAAACACAGAAAGGTCTATGTTCATTACGATTTCAGCATATTTATTCTCCCTCTGCTCTGCCAGGCATTGTTCTTGGTATGTGCATACAACAGTGATCAAAAGGAACCAAGATTACTTCCCTTGAAGATTTTCATAGGTGTTTAGGGTGAGTGCTAGGCATTGTTTAAGGCACTGTACATGTCATTATTAATCTTGTTATATAGATGAGTAAACTAAGGCAAAAAGAGGTTAAAATAACTTACCTGAAGTTATATAGCTAGGAAGTAACATCTGGAAATAATGGAATATAGGTGGGAATTGCATGGATGGAGGAATCCTGTTCTATAAGACATGTTGGATGTGAGATGAACCATCATGAAGTTATACTAAGTTCAACCCCTAAAACTTCTGTGTGGGAGCATTAAAGTAAAACATTACGGTGCATGACATAAATTCTTGCCCTCATCTAGTGTAATAGGTGCTATAGTCGAGGTATGTGCCAGTTATATGGATAAGACTGCTTTTAAATTCATTCTAAAGTATTGGGGAATCATTGAAGGATTTTAAATAGAGAATGACTTGTCCTCTAGTAGATGACTACATCCCATTGTGGACAGTTAACTGTGGGGTCACATTTTGTGATTTTCAGCCCTGAAATCCCCTTTTTCCCCATATACTAGCTTACTCCTTACTCTCATAATCATGTAACCTGTGTCACATTTCATAAAAAATATTAGGGTATCATTCCACAACTGGATTAGTCCTTGATATATAACTATTCAAAATGGTGTTAAGTTATTAACTTTTATTAATAATGAGAAATTTAGAGCCTTGCATTTAAATTTGGTGCTCTTTACCATCCTCACATAGGATTTTCTCAGCAAGTTGGAGCTTCCTCATACTTACCACTTCTGTTACCATGGTCTCATTGGAAAGAGAATCTCAAGGGTTTGAGACAGTCTCCAAACCTAAGAAGCATAAAGGGATGAGTAGGGAGAGAGCTACTGCCTTTTAAAATTGGAAGTTGCTGTCCTTGAACTGGTACATTTCTTGACCAGTTAAGGCAACCTTAGGCTGGAGTCCAGGTCTTATTACCATGTCTGGCCATTCTCAGAGGGCTTGTTTATCCTGTCATCTACTTCTTCAGCACCTGTCAGCTGACTGTTGTGGAGGGAGGTCAGTCTAGCCAAAGGCAGCGTAAGGTATGTGTTATAATAAGCAACCTTGAAAGACTATTGCCTCATCCCAGTCTCTTAAGAAATTAGATTCCTATGGCCAGATGCCACTTTTAGGCAGACTTAAGTATTTTATCTTTTAATCCAAAACCAAAGGGCAGCATGTATGTGGCAGAAACAGACTCTTGTGTAAATGATCCACAATGCACTATGTATTTTCCTTCTGTTACAGTCCAGGGATTCACGGATCTATAGTTTAAATATGTGACTATGGCTCCTGGATACTATTTCAAGATTTATTTACATGAGATCCAGCACAGTTAAGACCAAGATATAAATTCTTCTTCTGATTTGGTGAGAAAGATCAAAATACTTTTAAAAAGGAAAGGCAGAAAAAGCAATCTGTAATACTATGATTATATCTAGTCTTGAGTCAAGTTTCTGAGGAAGCTTGATCTTTTTTCCCCTCTCTTCACTTTTGGTTTGTGTTTTAAATCAAAAGGGGTAGGGAACACATCCGTAAAAATCACTTAGAACCGAATCCAAAGAATGATACATACATTATGTGAGTACGGTGAATCCAGTTTGGCTCCACTGTCTCACAGTTATCTTATTAACAGAAGGCCTCTCCTTATTAAGAAACTATAGCATCATAACTCTCAGCCTTTTTTCTCTTAGTCCTAAGGTGGGGATGTCAAGTGCTCACTGTAGGCAGTGGGTCCTATCTAAGGACATACGCAAAAGTACACTGGAGGAACCCAGGCTGAAAGCAGGGCATCTCTGGTTTGGGCAACACAGTTAAGGAGGATGTGCCTTGGAGAATTAGCGCTTCACTGCACAAACACAAATGTAGAGGATGGGCCATAATCAGTGCTGTTGCTCAGGGAGGGGAAGGTGAGTGTTCCTTCAGGAAATTACTTATGGTTAAAGTACACTTGAAACAATCATCCATAAATTTAATTTTACCCCAAACATGGAGAATATATCACTATAAATCCTAAAATGTCTCATTGGAGACCTCATTTTGAGTTTCAAATTGAAGATAAATTCTTAGTGTTCCACTGACTTCTCATTAGGTATCTTCCCAGAACTAAGCATTTTCACAAAGAGTCTAATACTTAATTGATTCTTCTCTGTTAGTCCTGTTTTCTCATTCTTAGGGAATCTGTTGAAAAATAGTGTGCAAGAGAAGTGGCCTGTCAAGTTCTGTACTTCACTACCCAGAATTGAATTAAATATCAGAAGCATGAAGACAAGTTATTCTGATAATCTCTTTCTGATGTAGGTAGTGATGATTCTTCTCTGTTTTGTTCCTTTGTGCTTAGGGATTCATCTCCATTTTGTTTTGTTATAATCCATAATATAAAAATTACAGGTTCTTTATAAAACCTATGATATGTAGATTGATCCAACTTAATACTTTCTCAGTCTCTTGCTGAATTCTCTACTTTCTGTGAGGAGACTTCCAGAATCATTCCAGCACTGTGGATGTCAGTGCCTTGGTGCTACAACATTCAGTTCTAAAGGTGAAATAGTTGACAAGCAGGAAACTTACTGCCAACTTGCATAGATACCTCTAGCTGCTGAATTGTCCAAAGTATCTGATTAGTTAAGCTATGTGCTACCATCCTGTTTGGTAGCTACACTCTTTTTCTTTCTTTTTTCTCTTACCACAGCTACCCTATATTGCTTGTTGACTTCAGGTACTTATGCTTTCTCTTTCGCTTGATTTCGTGTGCATTCACACACTCCCCTTCTCTCTCCCTCTTGCTTTAATGTGGTGTGATTTATCTACCATAAAGTTTATCCATCTTAAATGTACAATAAAGTGATTTTGAATAAATTTGTAGAGCTGTGTGAACATTACCACATTCCAATTTGAAAATAGTTACACTAAAACAAAAAGATTCCTCATGCCCAATTGCATCCACTCTCTTTTCCCACCCTAGTCCCTAGCAACCAATTATATGCTGCCTTGTCTCTATAGATTTGCCTTTTCTGGACCTTTCACATAAATGGAGTCATGTAATATGTGGGTTCTTTTGCATTAGCTTCTTTCACTCAGCTATATATTTTCAAGGTACTGTGTGCTAGACCATGTGTAAGAACTTTTTTTTAATGGTGGAATAATATCTCATTGGGTAGATAAACCAAGTTTTGTTTATCCATTCATCAGTTAATGGGTATGTTGATTTATCATTTTTGTGGCTATTAATAATGCCGCTGTGAGTATTAAAGTACAAATCCTTGTGTGGACATACATTTTTTTTCTCTTGGTTGGATTAGAATTGCTGAGCTATATGGTAAATTTGCATTTACTTTTTTTTTTTTTTTTAATAGTACTGGTGTTTGAACTCAGGGCTTCATGTATGCTAGGCAGTCTTTCTACCACTTGAGCCATGCCTTTAGCCTTGTATTTAAATTTTTAAGAAGTTGACAAACTGTTTTCTATAGTTACTGCACTGTTTTACATTCCCACCAACATTGTGTGTATGAAGTTCCAGTTTTCCACATCCTCACTAACAGTTGGTGGTCCCCACTCCCTGCCTTGTGTTTGCTAAGCATGCATACACTGTGGCCCCAACTCTGTTTGGTTTTTAATAGCTATCTAGGTGGATGTGAACTGTTAACCTCATTGTAGTTTTAATTTGGTACTTCCTTAATTAATAAAGTGGATCATCTTGGCCTTCTGTATAACTTGGGTGAAATGTCTGTGCAAATCTTTTCCCTATTTTTTAATTGGGTTATTGAGACTTTTAAGTGGTAAATATTCTTTATATATTTTGGATGTAAGCCTTCATTAGACATAGGATTTTCTTTTAGGCTCTTTAAAGGGTGGGTTTTTTTTTTCTTTTTTTTTTTTGTTTTTTTGTTTTTTTGTTTCTGTAGATTTGCCTTTTCTGGACCTTTCATATAAATGGAGTCATGTAATATGTGGGTTCTTTTGCATTAGCTTCTTTTACTTAGCTATGTATTTTCAAGGTTCTGCATGCTAGAACCTTTGCTTTGTTTTGGGTGTTGATCTTGGAGATTGAACTCAGGGCTTCTCTTGCTAGACAGGTATGCATGTGCTCTATCACTTGAGTCACACCACCGTCCCTTTTATAAGGTCTTTTAAAGTGATGTGATCTCTTGGCTCCCTCCTACTTTCTTGGTGAGATAAAATATATTCTGCTGGTGTCAAGTTTCTCTCTGAGTCAAATTCAAGCCTAACTTGAATTTTCCTTCTGTCCTCTGTTCTACTTTTCAATTTTTTTTAAAAAA